CTTTGTATTAAATAGTTCATCATTTGTTTCCTTTTTGTGCAATGGAGAGCTGTTTATCGGGATATTTGTGGTATCGGGTTTTGGGGATGGAATTTCAGTTTTTGTTTTTAGGCCTAAACTGTTTCAGTGCAAATCAAATAATATGCTGAACCCAGAAAAACAACCAAAGAAGTTTAGTTCTCAATATCCCCCACTCTGCTTCTATTAACCCATTTCAATAAAAAGAAGAAGAAGAATCCGAATTGTAGAGAAACGTTGTTTTCTTTGCGATTTTCTTTTCAAATCTCTCTTGTTTTGCTTTAATTATCTTTAGGGTTAATACGGTTCTGGTCTAATCACCGATGCAGCATCGATCTTTTTCAGTCTTCAACGGTATGGATGCTTCGTATGACAGACACTGCGTAAGAAGCTTGTGTTCTTGTACCAGACTAACCAATGTTTAATGGATAATATATTATGTCAGAGATTACCTTGTGTTGTTAGGATTTTCGTTTTTTTTTTCCTTTTTTCTATAGACCGTATTTCTCAGTCAGTAAGACGTGGGTTTTTAAAGGGAATTCTGTATAGACGACTAATCACCGATTCTCAGGTCGGCCTTCATGGTGCCATGTAGTGCATCAGGCACAAAAAGTTTAAAAATACAGCAAGTACAAAGTCCCATCGAGTTCTGCATGTTCTTCACCTTTCATACAATCTGAAAAAATCCATCGTTTATATTAGTTTCATAATTCATAATAGGAACAGTTTTTTCCCCGATGGGGCACTCAGTGAGAAACTGTCTTGCAACAAATGAGTTCATTCACTATCACCCAATGGTGGACACTCGAAAACTTTGGAAGCCATTGATGCAGCATTCGCAACAATAACAACAAAAGACTTGCAATTAATTATGCCGTTGTTCAGCACAAGGGCACAAATGATGGATGCAGCTGCGATTTCAGTAATAAAGGAATTTTTAGGAGTGGGGGGGAGTCTGAGTCGCTAAACTGACAAGATGACTGCTTTCATTATACTAGGGTAGAATGATATTAAAATGTTCCTTTTTTTGGAATCTAAAATGTTTGGTTTGTTTCTTGTTGACTAATTCACCACAAAGAAGAAATTCAAATTAGTCGCTTGAGCCATTTCCATTTTCATCTCATCAACAAGGAAAGACTGCAGCTAAAAACTGATTCTGTTTTGAGTGAAAATTTATATTCACCTTAGATTATCTTGTCACGAGGGATAAAAGTGAAAAATAAAAACCATTACCCCCACCAACACCACCGATATGATAATCAGATTCTTGTCTATTAAAATGCAAGCATATTTGTGTTTACATTGCTTAAGAATCGAAAGCCTAAAGATTCTCATGAGAGTGAGCTTCTTATTTACATTAGTGAATTTACTATTCAGGCCAACACTCGACGTTAGGTTCGAGGTAAAATGGCATAATTAGTTTTCAAGTAAGGCAAATCTGACAACACTCGTGTGACTAATGTTGCATTAAGTTTAAATCTACTGAGTAGTACCAGTAAAATCTATATTTTATGTCTGTAAAAGTAGAATATATATATATATATGTGTGTCTGTGTGTTATTAAAGTTGGATGAAAATCCGACAGAATGGTTAATGTACAAGACAACAAGACTAATATCTACTTTGAAATATTTTGCTGATGAACCAGCGTCATCAGAAAAAAAAATATATATATATATATATATATATATATATATATATATATATATATATATATATATATATATTGGATGTATTTGTGTACCAGTTTTCATTTATAAAAGTATAAAAAACACGTAAATTCTCTCTTAAGGATTTTAAAATTATTTTGTTTACATTTCGAACAGTGTCTGGGTACATTGTGTTACTGTCAGCTATATATATATATAAATATATATATATATTTATATATATATATATATATATATATATATATATATATATATATATATATATATATAGGAGAGTGTATGTAACAAGGTGTTATGAAATATTTGAGGCTCGACCCACTTCCCAGAATCTGATCAAATGCCCAAACAGTGGATTTTTGGGTGCAGTGCTTTTTCGTCGGGCCAAGAATTCTTTCAGCACCTGTCGTAGAATATATTTATTGCTTGTTGTCAAAAACTGCTTAGTGTGGTGGTGGCTGTTACGCAGTCCATTCCTAACAGAATGACTCTGCTTAGTCCTCTACTTTTGTGGCCTTGAGCTAGACCAAACTGAATATGTATCTCTACATATACCTATATATAGTATACCTATATATGTATATTTGTTTACCGCTATTAGTCTGTGTTACTTATTATCTTGCAGACTGAGCACACATGCACTCAACCTGATCAGACAGAATTAACTCCGAAGTCAACTACAAGATCCCTAGTGCAAACCATTAATCACGTGTTTACCATATTCCTTTCTCCCCCACCCCACATGTGATCCGGTCACAAAGACAACGTGTTACAGTATCCGTGATGGTCATCTATGTACAACAAAGATGGCGCGACTTCTGTCGTATCTTTCTTTGACGGACGCAGGCGGGTGGGCGTTTTAACTTTCGCAAAAATAAATCATGTGTGACTTGACAGCCATAAAGGAAGTTAAGATTATTTTATCATCTCTCTATCTCTGTTCACATATATTCACCTTTGCTATCTATCTATCTATCTATCTATCTATCTATCTATCTATCTATCTATCTATCTATCTTCCTTCCTTCCTTAACATCCTGGTTAGAATCAATTTCTTTTGGTGTTTCTTTATAAAAATGTTGTAGAATTTCAATAAAGTGGGAAATTAAGTCAAGGTGATACGACTCATTAAAAACATAATAAAGAAAGATAAGAAAGAAAGTGAAAGAAATATAGAAAAGAGAGGCAAAAAAAAAAAAGAAAAGACAACAGAAAGGAAGAAAGAAAGAGAAATATACAATTAAATTATTCTTTATTCTTGACGAGGACCATAACTGAAGACGACATTTTCTTTTCAGACAATTGAAATAATAAAACCTTCAACGTCATGCAGCTTCATGTCTGGTTGGGGCAGCTGTCATGGCTCATTTGGTAAATGCAGCAATTCGTTCGTGCTTTCGAAAAAGAATATTTATGGAAATTATTTTACCTAATACACTAAATGTATTTTCGACCATTACATTCGGTGTATCTTCCGAGAAGAAAATGTAAACGTATTTAAAAAAAAAATATGAATATTAAAGGAAAAGCTGATTCTTGATTAGTTTGGTTTTGGTTTTGAGGAGGAATTTTCATGTAGATTTTGTTCAAAATTTATTTAACAAAGATGAGGATATTAGTTAGATTATTTAATGATGTTCTTTTTTGTTAATTAAATCGAATGATAATAGAAACAAGGTCATCTTCTTTATCGTCTTTCCAAGGTCTCTGCGGTCATTGATGCAATTTCTCTTCGGAGTAAAAGCAGTTGGAGTCCTTTAGTCAGAAAACAGTTGAAAATGTAGTTTGTTGGGGAAAATCTTTGTCTCCAAATTTGATTCATGATTCATTTTTAAAGAATAACATTTTACGCTGTCTTTACTTTGGAAATCTAATATTTATAATACGATTGCGTTGGGGATGGCAATAATAACAACAACAACAATAGCAATAACATTAAGAAGTTTGTAATTTTAGGGAGGAGACTTGTTGTCACTTGATCTCCAACTATAAATATTTGAGGTGAAAAATAACAATAATGATATAAAAGAAAGAAAAGAAAAATCGTGAAGTAATGGGGAGAAAACAGTTAGGAAAGAAAATCAAGACTAATTAAATGGACAAATTTTAGGCGCTTTGAAATAAGATACAACCAAAGTGCATACAGTTCATATTTATTTCAATCGAAAAGCTAGAACATAAAAAATAAAAATAATAAAGCGTTCATATAGAATTATAAAATTGTATTTGTCCATGCAGTAGATGTTGTGAAGAATTCATTTTTTCAGGATAAATCATTTTTATTTATTTATTTTTTCAATTTCTGCTTTCAATGTCAAAGAGGAAAAGAAAGAATTCCCACACTTACCATTTTGTCTAAATATACGGAATATTTTTAGATGCGAAAGGAACAGACTTAGATCCTTCGTATTTTCTTTCAAATTTCTTATTACTTCAAAACGAAAATAATCCATGGACAAAAACCATGAACCGAGATATTTCTCATTCAAAAAAACATTACAACAAACATAGAAGGAAAAGATTGGTCATGTTATCGAAATATATAATCTTTTTTTTTTAACCTTTAACGTCATTACATTTTATATAGACTCGTTTCGGTTTATCCTATCAATTCCCTATTTATTTATTAATCGAGGTTTAGATATGAGGTATTAGATTAATACAGCTTTTCTGGTATTCTAAATTATTTTTTTTATCATCAGATGATTCTGTATACGAAATCCTAATTGTGTGAGTGGAGAAAAGTAAAAAGTAAAAATTTTTGTCAATGAAAAATTTTCGATATCTTCAAAAGTTTTTCTCCCGTCTGTTCACATTTGCTACTCAAGTTCCATTAATTTTAAGTTTTGATTACGATTATAGAACAGCGCGTTTTCTTGAACACAGGACGTAAACACTGTGAATTTTAGAATAAAATAAAACATATTTTACATGTAGAATACGATATTAACGCTGATGCAAGAATGACCGACTTCATTGACTAAGTCATTGGGCGTAGAAAAGTGTAATTTTGTTAAACATTTGTCAATTCCGAATTTATTATATTTAAATGATTAAACAAAATTATACATATATTTTTTCGATGTTGGATTTAATTGTGAATAAAATATTTTTTCAATTATTCTAGGTAAAATGGAACGATTTACAATATGAAACGGGGTAATGCAAGATTTTAATCCATATCTGATGTTAAAACATTTTGTCGAAACATCCATAAGTTGTAAAGAGAATATTAAATAAACAAAATTCATGATTGGACACTTGCTAAATATTTTTTACATAAGGTTATAAGCGCTGGTCATGCAGTGAGGATCGAATTAACTTCAATATCGCGGTTAGCTTCTTTACCTTTGATCTACGACAAACACCTGTATTCTGTCAATACATTCATTGCCTTTCAATGTCAATAAAAAAAAGAATAATTGATTTGTCAAAGCCAAATTATCCTTAAACAGGATTCGAAAAAGAAGTAGCAACAACACAATTCATATTTAAAAAAAAAAAAAAAATGAAAATGCAAACAAATGCATTTAAAGCATTAAGAATATCTTAAAATTGATGAACATGCTAAGTTTTCAAATGTTATCAGAATTTTTGGAAAGCATTGTAATTATTTTGTCAATTATTTGAAGAAAATATCCTCTTCTTTGTTACATTTTTATTACCCTGCTTTCACCAGTACACTCACTGACCTTCATTAAGTATGTATTGCATCCAGTAATATTTTCATGTTGTCCAAGGATATTTTGGTTTGAAGTAATGCTGGCGGGAATCATAACAGATAAACTACGGGCGGCATTGATGCATTATGAAACATGCACCCGGCCAAAGACGGAGATTGGACAAACTGAAACATGATTGAAAAAAAAAAAAAAAAAAAAGAAAGAAGTCGATAAATATATTAATATAAATAATTGACGGATTAGTACCGATTAGATAGATTATTTATATTCGCGTGGATGGCGAGAAGCTTAAAATCTTTTCCCATATCAACTCGAAATATGTTTGAATACAGAATTCAAAGTGCATATTTAATCCAAGAGCAATTTCGTCTGCAGATTAATCTGTTATTGATTGAAAAAAAGAAATAGAAAATTAACGAAGTATATGTTGACGTCTCCACACTTGTTCACCTTTAGAAATAAAAATTTTTTAAGCAGTATAATTGTCAATGTTGATTAGTATTTTCAATTCAAGTAGATATTCATTCAATTTATAATTTTATTTGTGAAACCAGCTGATCATTTGTCAATTTATAGTCTTTTTTCTTCTAATTAAGTTATGAGAATTACGATTGTTTGGTGTTTTTATTATTTATTTACCTGCTAACTCAAATTTTACATTAAAATATATATATATATATATATATATATATATATATATATATATATATATATATATATTATTAGTGGTAAATATACATATGCAATCATACATCTAAAATATATAAATATATATACATACATACACATACATATATATTTGTATAAAAATAATTCAAGAGGATAGAATCCAGGTAGAACTCAATGTCCAGGCCAGAGTAAGGATATAATAAAAAGGCTTAACACTAATATTAGTGTTTAAGCCTTTTTTATTATATATATATATATATATAAGTGAACATTGAAGTCAACACTTACAGGCGACAGTTTGTTTCATGGTAGACGCAATCTACAGGCCTGACGATTGCGCCTAGCATGAAACAGACTGTCGTCTCTAAGTGTTGACTTCAATGTTCACTTATATATATATATATATATATATATATATATATATATATATATATATATATATATATATATATATATGTATGTATGTGTGTGTGTGTGTGCATAAGTGGACATTGAAGTCAACATTAAGTGTCGACATTTTGTTTTATGCTTGAACGCAGATGAAGAATACGTTCAAGAATGAAACAGATTGTCGCCACGCAGTGTCCACTTTCATATTTATATACGCTCTATCACCAATATTGGGCACTTTACCCATAAATATACCATACCAGTTCACAATATGAATACGATAGAGTTTTCTAAATTCAACACCATTACTGGATAAGACATCAGAAGTGTTGAAACAAAATGGCTATTTTTTTAACATTTTATAACATGTTTATGTTATAATTTTCTAATAAATAATTATATTTGCTCTATTCTGTTTTGAGCACTCTTTTAAGAATAATATTTGTTGGTTATTGGAATTTATTCCATATACACCAATCCTATATTTGGACATATATATATAAAAGATTAATTTAAAAAATATTTCATTGGCTGTTACCTGTTGGTGTTTTGCAATGAATTTATGACTAAATTGACGCGATTCTCAAAATGATTTCATGCAATGCTGGGCCAAAACCGTTACAGTTTTTAAATAGAGGTTAATTAGTGCGATTGGCAGGGTTATTTACATATTTGTGTGTATGTGTTTACACGTTTTTTTATGTAGAGACATTGAGGACATATATATGCACGTATATACAAAAGCGGTCTTCGTATTTGTGTATACATTTATCTACATAAGAAAATATATAATTATATATATTTGTGTATAGTGATATTATCATGAGGCTAACATATCAAGTTCATTTCTACGCAGGGTTGTTGAAAAATCATTCGTCTAAGAAAAAAGCCCTTCAAGACAAATAAATCTTTTGGTCATGTGGGAAGTGGGTCTGGTAGAGAACAGCTGTACCCATAAAGAGACTTCAATGTTATAATCGGTTTTATTTTAATGGGGTTCACCTGTACATATTTTGCTATGCACTTAAAACTAGTTTTATATATTTATGTCTGTGTGTATCTGTGCAGTCGGAATCGTGTAATATCAGATTCTCTTATCATTTTATTAGCAAAAATACATGAAAAGGTACACTATTGGTTGAAAATTCGTCATTTATGAAGGGTCGTTCTAAAGTTTCATCTAAAGATTTATGCATATCTCAAGTTTTAAAAAATACAGTCTAAGAATTCGTCTGTAGCAAATTCTTTCAAGAAGAGAAATAATTTGAGTTTTGGCAAATGAAAAACGTTCAGTGTTT